GAATCAACTAGATGCAGTGGATTACTTAGGGGTGGGAGGCAGGAGGGAAGGTACTGTTTTCTTAGGGTTCATTGAATTTGTGTTAATGGTGATAGAATAATTTGGCCCAAGATAACTATAATGGTCACACAGAATGACGTACATAATCAAGGTCAGTGAATTCCACCTGTAGAAATGGTTGAACTGGCAAATGTTTTGATGTATACATTTTCACCACAGTAAAATAAATCAAATAAAACTGGGAGGAAAAACATCCGGGCCGTGAGACTGTAGGTTTTATTTATTTATTTATTTAACACTCTCTTTTGATGCTCTTGAAGAGTTCTTAAATTTTCTATATTACGTTTTATCTTTTATAATCAGGGGAAATGCAGACTATTTAAACTAACAGAAGGCAGCCTGGAGCGTAGTCAGGCCCATTTTATAAGGCTTCCACAACAAGTTCTCGGTGCGTGTTCCTGCGGTCTTGGCGCTTTTTCGCTCATAGAAGTGCCTTCCTTTCTCACATCACCTCTGAGAGCAGCCCTTCCGAGCTCAGCTCCAGGCCCGTTTCCTCCGTGTACCACTGCCTGCCACCCTTACGGATCTCCCTCCCCATCCGATCTTTACACTTGGTGGCTGTGCTGTGCCACCCTGACTCATTCCCCTTCGTTACTCTTCTCTCTGCTGGTACATACATGCATGTGCGAGTGTGTGAGTGTCTGAGAAAGGAAGCGAGTGCATATGTATGTTTGCCCGGGGTCTGTGTTCATGCCCCCTCCTCAGAAGGTAAGGCGGCACCCGTCCCCCACGTTCTCTGCAGAGCTGCTGGCAGTCAGCACTTCCTATTGTTGCTGTTATGTGCCCTGGAGAAGACCTGATTTATAGCGACCCCTCCTTGGGTTTCCGAGAGGCAGTATCCCTATGGAAGTAGACTGCCCAACCTTCCTTCTGAGGAAGGAACCGCCAGCCTCCTGGTTAGCAGTCAAGTGCCTTAGGCACTATGCTACCAGAGCTCCCCAGCACTTGCTAAATCCTTGTAATAGTACTAGGGGTTGAAGCTAATACAAAAACAAAACAAAACAAAAAAAACAAACCTGTTGCCATTGAGTGGATTCTGACTCATAATGACCCCCGTTGGGTTTTCTGTAAATCTTTACAGCAGCTGGTGGGTTTGAACTGCTGACCTTCTGCTTAATAGTCAAATGCCTTACCCACTACGCCACCAGAGCTCCTTGTTGAAGCTACTAGGTCGTGGCATTGGAGTCTGACAACTTAGGGTGCTCCTTCCCTGACACACGCTCTGAAGTACTGCTTGAACCTGTATTTCCTGAGCATTTCCTACCTGCCAGCCACTTACCATTCATTTTCCACTTACCCAGTGGGAACTGCTTTCTTTCTTCCGAGTTGGGGGAAACCAGAACCGAGACAGGTCATATAACCTGCTTAAAATGACAGAGCTGGAAGTGGTCAGGCCTGGATGAAAACAGCAGGATCCCAGAGCCCAGGCCCCTGACCCATCAGCCTTTCGGCCTCACTATGTTCTGTGATGAGTGACATCCATGCCAAAAATGTGCTTTCTAACTGCACGCTCTTGGACAAGTGACTTAGCACCCCAAATCTCAATTTCCTCATTTGTAATGTGGAGGCTGTAATACCTGACAGGGCAGTTGTCAATGTGAAGATGAGAATGTTGTCGTTGTTGGGTGCTGTAGAGTCGACTTGCACTCAGTGACCCTGTGTGACAGTTGAACTGCCCTCATAGGGTTTCCTAGGCTGTTATCGTTAAGGAAGCAGATTGGCAGGTATAGTCCTCCATGGAGAAGCTGGTGGGTTCAAACCTGTTCTCGTTCCCTAGTGCCGCCCTGACAGGAATATACCACAAATGGGATGGCCTTGACAAACAGGAGTTTATTCTTACAATTTGGAGGCTTTAAGTCCAAATTCAAAGTGCCAGGGGCTGGGTGAAAACCCCTCAGCCTTGGGGTCCAGCTCTGCCTCCTGCTCCTGGCCCACTGGAGCGAGAGGCGTTTCTTCACTCAGACAGCTACTGGCTGCTGAGGCTGAGAAGCCCCAAGGTTGACAAGTAAAAAGGCACAGGCCCGATGTTACCAAACCACACGGCAGGCCATTAACTTAAGTCCACTGTAAGTCCCAAGGTCGGCAGAGCATGGCAGGCTGCTGAGCAATGACACGGCTACATGCAGGGTCCAAGCGTCCCATAGGCTAGAGACCATTCCCAAGGCTTCTCCTTATATACAGGAAGCAGACCACATCCCAAAGGCAGCTACTCAGCTGCTGTGGTAGATCCCACCATGGAGTTGATTGCCAGTCTCGTCATGGGGAGTAACTACCACCAGCTGCCCAGCTACTCAACCAGGCCCAGCCAAACTGGCACACAAACATAACTACCACAGAACCACTGACCTTTCTGGTAGCAGCTGAGCACTGAACCATTGTGCCACCAGGACTCCTTAAGTTATGAACAGCATCTCACAAAGTCCCTAGACATTGCAGTCACTCAGTAATTGGCAACTGCTATTATTAATGATAAAAAGGACCTCAAGAGATGGACTGACAGTGGCTACGATGGGCTCAAACACAGAATGACTATAAGGATGGCACAAGACGGGTGGGCAGTGTTTGTTCTTTTGTACATGGGCTTCCATGAGTTGGAATCCACTCGATGGCACCTAACCACAAGAATATTATTAGATTGTCTGTCTTCTCAAAAGAGGAGCCCTGTTCACTCAGTGGTTAAGCTCTTGGCTGCTAACTGAATAGTCAGTGGTTTGAACCCACCAGTCACTCCACAGGAGAAAAGACCTGGCAATCCATGAAAATTACAGCCTTGGAAACCCTGTAGGTGCAGTTCCACTCTGTCCTCTAGGGGCGCGTGGGTCAGAATTGACTCCAAGGCAGTGGGTGTGGTTTGGGCTTTGCTTCTGTGAAGATTGACAGCCTGGGAAACCCTGTGGAGCAGTTCCACTCTGTCCTCTAGGGGCGCTGTGAGTCAGAATGGACTCCACGGCAGTGGGTGTGGTTTGGGCTTTGCTTCTGTGAAGA